TCTAAACTCTAAAGCTCTAAAAGAGCACAGAATGTCATGATTTCAGCTTCCTGCCTCCTCTGCTCTTTGCCACCTACAAGCGCTCTCGGCCACGCCCACTTCTCCGCTCTGCACGGAGAACATCTGTTCAGCTGCAGAAGGGTAGTTATCCTGCAGTGTGGGCTGCACAGAGGTGCAGCAGGCGCTAAATAATTCAAAATAATTTATTTTAAATAAAAATCCATGCCAATCATGCCGCTCATTCATCAATCAGCCAGTGTGTCATGTCCAATCTTATTTTGAAAAACTGCGATAGAGCGAGTCCGCAATAAACAAACCGTGAAGTAGCGAGGGACTACTGTATATCAATTTTTTGTCATGAAATGATCTTAAACTGCCACGAAAGGAAATGCCTCTTTTCAAGATATGCTAGGCTTTAATTAATTTCTTGTCGATTGTCTACATGTTTAAGCAGAACAATCTGAATATGAGCTACTGTGACTTCTTGTGCAATAAATGAAAATATTTATTTCAGCTGGTTAAATGGATCAGAGAGATCAATGAATGATCACTTTGCTCAGTTCAAAGACATCAATAATCAGAGTAAAAGCTCTAATTGATCAAAGGTGATCAAAAGCTCCTTCAGTCAAGAACACATTTATCCAGTTGTGTCCTGCAGTCATTCCCACCAGGCCCAGTTCTTGTAGCAGAACAGGGAAATGTTTGTTCTTTTAGTCCCCTCTCCTTGCATGCTCCACGGGGACTCCTCCCTGACTGAAAGCTTCTCTGAATTATTGATAAAACATTTTGAATAAGCCATCAGTGTGAAGCTGGGGGTTTAACCCGTTGTCTGACAGCATGGTCGTTTCCAAATGGAATCGAAACAACAGTCAGCAAAAACAACAGTTTGACTCATTAACGGGGTCTGCTGTGAGGGCGGGGGGGGGGGGGGGGGGCATCAGAGGAGATCTTTAGACCAAACTCCAACAACACTAACACAGTCTGAAGACTGAAGAAGTCTTTCGGATGAAAGACAAAACATTTCTACTTCTTTTTGTTTTGCTTGTTTTGTTTTTTGAATGTCCAGAGGACCAGACTTAACTTTTTTAGATTTTCTACCTGGATTATTGAGCATGCATCAGGATATCCAGGGTTCTTTTTTTCAATGTGAGTGTTATTTATCAAAGTGGGAATATTGTCCTTCTCTTTGGGTGTGAAAATCAAATGTTGGCTGTTTAGAGTTAAAGCTTTTCATGGTTTAATTTTGTCTGAAAGAACCCAAAGCCCAACTTGGCTACAATTTCTGAGTTTCTCCAGAATCTTTTGTCATGCAAATGCAAAATTCAATTATGTTCACTTCACTGCAGGGGTCCTTTGAAGAAGAAAAACACCAGAGCATCTTTACACAGAGGTGATCAGCTGCCATAAACAAACACATATCTGCCCAACGAAGGAATCTCTGAAAATAAGCTGTGCACAACAAGAACATTACTTTTTATTTTTCATTCAACCTTTATTTAAACAGGTTAGTCTCATTGAGCCTTGAGGACTCCTTTACAAGAGAGACCTGTTTTTAACAAAAATGATGACAATAGTACACAATCATAAAAGAAAGCATATAAAATGAAAAAATAAATGGAAGAAAATGATATTAAAAAACAAAACAAAAACAGCTACATTGTAAAGTGATGTAAAATACTAAAAACAGGACCATGTCTGCACTGGTTTTTGCCATGAACTTAGCAGATGTTTGAATATCGAGATATATATCGTATATCACGATTTATCTTAAAAATATTGAGATATTAATTTTGCTCCATATCGCCCAGCCTTACTCACAGATAAGGATCATTATATAATGAAGTATCACACATACATACATGTTTCCCCTGACAAAAGCATAAGCAGCATTCAGAACACACAACCTACAGATGTGGACAGTAACTGTGGAAACGGACCACAAACCTCCACATCTGTAGGTTGTGTGTTCTGAATACTGCTTATGCTTTTGTCAGGGGAAACATGTATGTATGTGTGATACTTCATTATATAATGATCCTTATGTGTGAGTAGGGCTGGGCGATATGGACCAAAATTAATATCTCAATATTTTTTAAGATAAATCACGATATACAATATATAACTCAATATTTAAACATCTGCTAAGTTCATGGCAAAAACCAGTGCAGGCATGTTCCTGTTTTAGTACCTACTGAAAACAAATACAAGCCATTATCAACGGCCTTGTTTACCCTTCATACTGTATGATGTGAATTTTGGTATCAGCTTAATATGTTGGTGCTTCTTACTATCTATAAGTGCAGCAGTTTGTGTTTGGGAGCTCATCCTCTTGCTCCAAGAGAAAAGGATTTCCTTCTTCTTTAAACTCAGCATTTAATTGATAACAGTTGAGCTTTCTGCATCATTTATGAAGGAAATGTAAAAGTAGAAGTACTATTCCTTTGATAAGTACACATAAATATTGGTAATACTTGAGTGTAAAAACATTTATGCAGCCATCAAACTGTTTTGTTTGTTTTATTAGAGGTTGTCTATAAATGTTAAAGCTTCTTTCACATGTTTTAACTCTGTACTTCAGCTTCCATACCATACCACTTTATTTATAAAGCACTTAAAACAGCTACAAAGCCAACCAAAGTGCTGTACAGACAAAACAGCAGGTAACACACAAAGCAAAATACAAAATGAGGTAAATCAGAATATAGACAAAAAACGATGCAGATAATGACGACAAACCAGTGTGGAGCATACAGGATCAAAACACAGATCATCTTGTGTTGAAAGCTATTGAATAGTAGTGAGTTTTTAAACGGGACTTGAAAACCGAGAGGGAGGGGGCCTGTCTGACAAGCAGAGGTAACTCGTTCCAGAGTCTTGGTCCTGCTACAGAGAAGGCTCTGTCACCTCTGCGCTTAAGACGAGTTCCTGGAACTGTGAGGAGCAACTGGTCCGCTGACCTCAGGGAGCGTGGTGGGACATACGGTTGTAGCAAATCAGAGAGATAGGTGGGGGCGACACTGTTCAGTGATTTGTAGACATACAAGAGTATTTTGAACTGGATTCGAAAGTGAACCGGTAACCAGTGCAGTGAGGCCAAAACTGGTGTAATGTGCTCTCTTTTGCCTGTACTGGTTAAAAATCGGGCTGCTGCATTCTGGACCAGTTGTAGTCGTGCAATGGAGGTCTGACTGATACCAAAAAGGAGTGAGTTGCAGTAATCAAGCCTAGATGTAATGAATGCATGTATTACTGTCTCCAGGTTCTTTTTGGACAATATGGGCTTCAGTTTAGACAGCCGCCTCAGTTGGAAGAAGCATGATTTAACAATCATGTTTACGTGATTGTTAAGTTTCAGGGAAGGGTCCATTATCACGCCCAGATTAGTGACTCTTTGTTTTTCTGACAGGGTTAGAGCGGAAAGGTCGATGTAGTGGTTTGTGATTGTGTCGTTGGGAGGGAACAACATGACTTCAGACTTCTTTTCATTGAAACTTAAGAAATTTAAAGCCATCCAGTCCCTGATGTCAGCCAGGCAGTTGAGCAGCGGTTGAATAGAGCATGTACCATTGTGTCTTAGGGGGAAGTACATCATGATTGTTCCACATCATGTTTGATTCAGAAAGCTGATTCTGTTTCTTGATCTCGTTGTCACGTTTAGCTTTTTGGAGCTGGGCATTGTGCCTGTGTTGTCTGAGCGTGAGGCCTTGTGCATTTCTGTTAGCAAAATATTTCATGAACCAGTGGACAAATGTCCTTGGCACTTCCAGAAGGTATTCAGTAGATGTACCTCCATAATTAAGTACATTTTGGAGTCAACCCTTTTCAAAAGGGCCACAACTTCTGGCTGTGGAATAAACAAGAAATGCTTCACCTCAGTCAGTTTTACAGAGACTGACCTGAAATGTGGTGTAGTAGTAGCTGAGAGTCATACAAACACAGACTGTAAACGCTCACAGGTAACGCAAGATCTTTGTTTAACATGTTGCCACCAAATTTTGAAGTAACTCTGTCAGAGAATTGTCATAAACCATGGAATAGATAACAGAATCAGCCTTAGGCAACACATGAATGGCTATAACTCAGTCAACAAGTACTGAGCTAAATATAGATTTGTGGTAGCAGAGAGTCATTCACAAAGCTCGCACGAAACGCTTAAGATTTGACAAAAACTGCTACAACTCAGTCATTTCTCAACACAAGATGATCTTAGTTTGAAACTTTGGCACAAAAGATGGCGGGCGGTAGGCAATTCTTCAACAAATGCTAGGTTTCTAACAATAAACAGTGATTTTGTCTGCAAGCAATGCTCCAATAATAATAAAAAATATTCATCAGACTATGGTTCATACTAAGTAGATAATTAATATTGAATTGGAGGCTTCTGCATGTAACAGTGTCTGATGCAACTAAGTTTATTTTACTGATTTTTGATTTTACTGTCCTGTACACATGCAAAAATGCATTTTTAATTTATTTCCAGCACCTGGGAGCTTCAACATGGTGCACTGTCACCATCTAGTGGCTGCACATGCTTCTCAACAACAGACTGTAGTTTCCTACCTGACAGGCTGCGAGGACGGGCCTCTGCTAGATCTGAAATCCCTCCAGTAGTGACCGTCTTCCTCATCCTGGAGCCTGCAGCAGCAGCTCCCAGTGTGGGCTTTGTCAAAGCATCATCACTGCTGGCTCTTTTCAGCTACAAACACATCTGCTTTTAGTTCCATAAGATCTGACGGGATCTTATTTCAAATCTAAAGAACTCTTGCAAATTCACTGTTTATATATTATCGACATATCATCTAATGTTTGAGTCTGATGTGGTATCAACATACCTTGCTGAGTCGCTGGTCTAAGGCCAACGTGTTGGAGGATCTCGAGGTCTTCATTATTGTAGAGGCCGAAGGAGGCGAAGCCAGGGAAGAATGCCTTACCCGCTCCTGGAGTCCTGCTTTAGGCAGCCCCAGCTTAGTGGAGCCTGGTTTAAGCATGGCTACACCTAAAAAAAAGAGAATTTGTTGTAAAAAATATATAAAACTTAAAGCATTGATGTGCCTGCAGATGGCAAACAAGAGCTCAGGATAGTCACACAGAGAAGTCAAGCTGTCTTTGTGTGCTTTTTGGGCTGCAGGACCCTTTTCACAGTTTATATAAAGGTCCTCAGAGCTGTTAGGTCCAAAGATGCAATATGACAAAAGCATCACCACTTGACAAAAACCAAACACACAGCATTCAATAAAATACTAATCCTACCAAACACTGACAACATGTGACGCAGTGATGTAGTAAACTGTCACTTTAAATCAGGAGAGTGGAAAAAATGGCATCTTAATCTACTCAATTAACAATTTTACATGAATTCAAAATATTAAGACAACAAAATGGGTCCATTTTTTTCTCGACTCCAAAGCCATCCTAGAAAAAAAAAATGTGTGTGCCTCAAATATTTTAGAGAAAAATTAAAAAAACAATTTAAAGAAAAAAATTGCTCGTTTAAAAATGATACCTTGCTTCATGAACAGCACAATTACACAAAATATAAAATGAAAGAAAAGATGGCACTTCTTCTTGAGGTTTGTGAGAAAACAATTCATCTGCTGAGACGTTGTTTGTTTTCAGGTTCTCTCTATGCATGCGTGAGTTTTCTCCGGGTACTCCAGTTTCCTCCCACAGACCAAAAACATGCATGTTAGTCTGATTGGTAACTCTAAATTGTCTCTAGGTGTGAGTGAGAAAGTGAATGGCTGTTTGTCTTGTTTGTCTCCATGTGTCCCTGTGATGAACTGAGACCTGTCCAGGGTGTCTCCCCCCCCCCCGTGGCAGTTGTGTGGTGGGTCCAACAGGGGTCAGTGCCCCCGTAACACTGAGTCTGGACCTGCCTGTGCCCCCCCCCCCCCTCCTAATGAAGATTATACAGAAATTATTAATATTTTGATATTGCACCGATGCAATCGCAAAAGGTGGAACAAGTGCGCGTGGAACAACATTGTAGTAGGATCCTTTAGTGCGTTGCATCACTGTAAACAGCGGCCAGTTGATAGTGAAAAAGACGAGCGCAACGTTACTATCCACAATTATCACAACAAACAATATTGTATTGTTACAAGGTAAGACTTCTTGTTGTTGGCTAACTTTATGAATTATAATAGCAGCCTGTCCTACATTAAATGTTATTTAAACTGCTGTTGCTGTGTATTCCTCTCCATTGCATGTTGTGTATAGAGCAAAATGAAGAGGAAAAAAGGACATTTCGTCCTATTTCTGCACAAGACAGACAAATAAAAATGGGGCAGACATTGAGACAGAGCCAGTTGTTGGTGATAGAAGAGAGAAGAGAAGCAAGTTAAGAGCGCCACAGAGAGTGATCCAGAGGACTTGGGAGAAGTTCAGAGAGAGGGCACAGAGATGGAAAGAGAGACAGATGAAGATCCTGAGAGTGAGGAAGCTGAGATTGAGATACAAGCAGAGTGTGAGACACACAGAGAATATATGTACATCCACATGCGCTGGACCAACAGGTTTGTAATGTTGACAACAAAACATTTGTTAATGTTTATTTAAAAGGGACAAATACAGAGATTCATATAAGACATCTAGCTTCAGCTAATTTGCAGTTTTAGAATACATAGCGCTTTAGAATACAATGAAAGAATGTACTGATTACAATAAAAATGCAATTAATAAATACATTGAAATAATAAATTAATAATAAATTGAATGTGCCTCTGACAAAACCTTTGGCCCCAGCCAGGCCCCCTTAGTAAAACTGGTGTAGAATCGCCACTGTGTCCCCCACCTCTCGCTAGGTCACGATTGTAGTGAACTTAACCTGATGTCAAGACTAAGCCTAAGGTCAAAACCCTTGACCTTAAGAACCTTGTGGGACAGAAACTGTCATTTCATTGATTTGAATCCAGAAATACAGGTTCACCCATCCTGAGACTCTCTTTCTTGATAATCAAGTGAAAGAACACTCTCTTTTTATTATCATTACTATTTTACAAATGTTGATAATCAAAGTGTCTTAGTTCAAACCATTTTAGATGTTGCAGTGAACTAATCAATTTTATTAACTGTGAAACAGTGTAATGATTTTGAATGCTTATGCAGAGTTAGAATTCATGTTAAGGTCTGTTACAGATTTTTATGCATTTTCTGATTTCTGTCTTTGAATGAGCAAGTGTGCGTTTTCCAGGGTCAGGAGTCGAAGCAGACATGTGTCTTGTTTACATCCTCTCAGACGTCAACAGGGGAGCTGGCACCTGTTTCTAAAACTCGCCAAAACAAAACTCTCTCTGTCTCTGAGAACAGTCTAACCTGTTCCATAACAATTCTTGTTTTTTCTGACTTCTAGTAACCTCTGACATCACAAAACACACCCCTGTCTGGTTGATATTACCCAATAAGGGACGCTCAAATATACCGGAAATAGAGCTCTTTAAAATGCCGGTACTTCCTAGTTCTCTCAGTTCAGTTCTGCGCGGAGAAGTTCAGTTCGGTGAAGCTTCTGAGCAGTTCGGTTCTGCGCTGAGAAGTTGTTTGGGAGAACAGAAGTCCAGCATGATAAGGCTCCTCCGAGTTGGATTATTGCTATTGCTGATGTGAGCTGGTGTCGGACGGAATCTCGTCACTACTTCGGACGAGTCACAGCCATCCTATGGAGACGCTGGACAGGTAGCGTCAACTGGACCTCCATATCTGCTGATTAATCTTCAGAAAGGTAATGAGTCAAGTTTCCTACCGAAGCGTACCGAGGAAGGCTGGGTTCTGATGGAGAGTGTCGGTTCTGGTGAACACTTCCCCTCACATACCATCTTTTACTCCCTTTAAACTTTCTTCCCATCTTTAAATTTTTCTCTCAAGTAGAAATCCTTCCAGATAATTTAGAAATGTCTGTGTAAAGTGCTCATCCACCGCCGTGTGGATAATTGATCATAATTGTACAGTTTTCAGAAATGTCTGTGGTGATTCAACGGAAAATCATGGCCGTATGGTTTTCCTGATTGATTGATTATGTTGTTATTTTCATATTTTGCCAAATTAATGTAAATGTTTGATGTTAAACTTTGATTCTGTAAATAAATGACCGCATTCATTTTGATGGGTCAAAGATAAATGACGTCTCACGTTTGCATTTCATTAAATTCAATGCACGTTTTATTCAGTCCAGAAAAATGAGGAATCCGTTTTAATTGATGAATATATCTCTGCATCTGTTCATCTACACGATAACAAATTTTGCTGGGCGATTGTCTCAGAAATTATTGCGATAAATGATAATATTGTTTGAAATTTGACAATAATTAGTAATTACTGTCAAATTTAAGAAGAAATGTTGGTTAATTTGTTTTGTGTGTAGTACCTTGTTTTGACCACTGGATGGCAGTATAAGACTGTTTCAACCGAAGGATGGATAGTGAGGGAGCAAGCAGTGTGCCTATTTAAGAGAAATGGGAGGGAGGTGCTTTGACGTGACATGGGCTGTCTCTCATTTCTGTTTTCCGGTTCTCAAAATGGCGGACGCTCGGTGTGCAAGTCCTTTTGCATAACATTTTTAAACAAAGCTTTTAATAAAAATTTAAAAAATAAGTAAACAAGTTCTCAGCTTCTTTTTAAAGAGAAAATTTTACACGAAGGCACGGGTTTCAACCGTGAATTTTGGAGCTTCGACAAGATGGAGGTTTTTTCCAGAGGTCAGCCTGTTAGCTTAGCTTCTCAGCTAGCTGCTTTTAACAATCCAAAAAACGCAATTTTGGACGGTTAAAACAGATTTTAAAGAGAAAAGAGAAAGGGATGGGTCAGTGAAGAGCACCGGAGTTGAACCTTTTGTCATCCAGTGTCCAGTAGAAAGAGAGAGACATGAAGAAACGATAAAGCCAATAAATGAAAATGAGGTCAATAATTTTCATTTATCATGTGATTAACTGATTTATTGTTTATCATGACAGGCCTACCTCTCACACAGTGATGGATGGACATGGGCACCAGTGACCCTCGTGACTCGAAAAGGAAGAAGCTGTTAAAGATGGATGGATGATGGCGGTATCAATGCTATTTAAAGGTTTGACTGCATGTTTTGCTCTGTGTTGTGTGTATGAGCCAGATGTCAGAGACGATTCTCCATTTCATGGAATGTGAAGGACAATAAAATAATATTGGACTGAATTGAAAACTACACTTTCTAAGCATTGCTTGATGGTATTTTTGTTGTTTAAAATTACACAAGGAGCCACTGTGAGAAGAAACACCGCCAAGCAACTTCCTGCTAGAGGGACCAGTAAGAACAAAATGCCATTTACCTCGTGAACCTCAGCCTCGTGTTACAAACCAACATTATGTCTGCTTATAGTTGAAGAAATGCAAATGGCTGAAGTCATGATGGTCCAAAAAAAGCAGCAGAGTGATGGATTTATTTTTCCAGCTCAGACAGGATGTGGTGAGTGTGAACATTAAAGGTTGCATTTTATGTCCACAGGGAAAAGCACTCAACTGGACAAAAAGCAGCAAAAGGAAACAGAAGGAGGCTGGAGTGCACTCAACCACAAGCGTCTGGAGCTCTGTGGGGCCCAAAGGCCAGGAGAAGTTATTGATCAGGGTTTAGGCAACCTGATCCCTGTGCCTCTGAGGGACACTGGACTGTTAATGAGGATAACACTTATTTAATGCAAACAGAAGAAACATTTAATCCGAGACAGTCATGAAGGACAAACGGCTCATGAAGTTAGAGCTTTGTGCTGAAGGAATGAGATAAATAGATGCTGGTCAAATGTGATTATATTGTAGTGAACAAAAAAACTGGGAAAAATGCAGCAGGACTGTAGGCACTAATCTATTCACACAAGAAGAAGAAAATTCAGATTCATAAAATACTGTAGCGTATTTCACACGGCCACATTTTTAGGACAGGTTTGTGATATAAAAAGTTGATTAGACTCTTCTAAAGTGTTTGCTCTTTTTGTGCACGAAAGAGAGCGTGTTTCCTTTGCAGCTCATCACAAC